AAATAGGACACACGACAGCCATCACACTTCCGGTCGCCACAGGAACTCGTCACGCGCTGGACGCGGGAAATTTGATAGTTCTGTTTTTCTATTAGCGAATTAGGGGATTATCTTGTGATCGAGGGTGAAACTGTCATTTTAATACATTTAGGGGACGATTCTCTAAGTGAAATCGGTTTGAAGAGAAAATTGTTTAGGGATAAAATATGCTTTTTCGAGTAAACACTGATTTAGGAGTCAATAAATTAACTGTACTAACATGGGGTGGGAAAGTAAGTACAAATAAAATATAACTATTAAAACAGACCGACGTACATTTGACGACTTGTTATAAACAATTAGATCGGGTATCTCTAGCACTCACTAATCGAATCAGCACTTATGAGGTATCTCTACCTTCTTCTCTACTTTAAGGTAAAATAGCAAGTAGGGATGGAATAAAATCACAATCACCTGTGATAACCTGATAACATGACTAATCATAACAATCATATGATATAAAAACTCCTATTATTATTATTACGCCAGACTCGCGAAAGGTCTAAAAAAGGTCGTAATATTTGATAAAAAGAAATATTGATTGATTTTAATGGCATTTATCTTTGTCTATGACGAAATCACAATCACATGTGAAATCGCTGTGACTAAAACCAATCATTTCCTTATATGAAAATGATTTAAACGAAGCAATAATTTCCATGTTTATTAGCAAGTTACAAAAAGGAACTAGACACTACTGCCTTTGTAAGTGTTCAAAAGGACTAACCACTGCTTTTTAGCAGTGAAATCATGTATTTGTACTGATCAGTAAAAAAAGAATTAGCATCACACTTAGCATGACTAAAATTAATGTAGAAATATCATAATACAGATAAGGGTACTTTTTTTTTAAAGATAACGCCGCATTGGGAGTATATATCCTGTGTCGCGGAGGAGTTTACAAATATACATGAAACGGACAACAGACTCAGAACAACAATTTGTGGATCACACAAAGTGGTGTCCCATGTGGGGATCGAACCCACAACACTCAGCGCAGTAGCAAGCGTGGCGACCGCTTAAACCATTACGCCATCCGTGCAGTGCAACTTCAATAAACGAATTTTTTATTTTTATCTAGATTTTTTTTTTAAAAAGAAGTACACTATTCATAATTACCATCTAAAAACTTTTTTTGTTTCTAGTAGAATGTCCAACATTCAATCCCAATTCCAACGAAATTTTCATTTCATATTCAAACAAAGTTGTAGAGTTGACTAAAGTTTGAACTTTAGTTTGATTGAATCAGGTAAGCAACAAATTTCCTTAAACAAAATAACACATTTAAAGATTAACTATAATAAGACCATCGCTGACAGTTTCTTTCCCCCCAGTCTGGTAATTATCTTTAATTCATTAGAGCTAATCAATAAAGGATAGGAAGGACTAATCATCCCAGCAGGAGATGACATCCCGGAGCGAGACAAAATTGACGGTAATGATGTCGACAAGCTAAATGAATGACGAGACAGTACAGTAGCAGGGTTGTTATTTAGAGATGGTATTGAATAAAGGGATTGAGATCAGATTTATAGAAAATTAATGATACTCTGTTTATGATTACAGAGCTAATGAAGATTACTTACACATGTCACGTCTTGTCAATAAACCTGTATATAAAAAGTATGAAATTAATAAAATTGGCCTTTTTGATCATCTAACTTCAAGACCATTGTAACTTTAATTTAAAGGTTAATTAACTATTTTCAATGAAATTGCACACGAATATCCTCTTACGGATGAAATTTAGCTTATATTTACAAATTCATATTGGCACAGAGACGACTAAAAATATATTGTTTACAGAATACATTGAAATAAGCAATCCAATCTACGTACAAACATAATTAAAAGGTACACAAACCCAATTATCTTTGAGAATCTCGAATTCAACTAACGAAGAGCAGTGACATGGATTGCACACGATAATTATACTGAACATACAGTTAAAAGGGACCCCACGGTGATTATGTGGTATTCTCGTGAAAATTTTAAATCATAGGGACGATGAAATGAAAAGACCAAAATTTTCAACGACGGACACGTAGGCAAATAATATTACAGCTAGAAACAAAAATATAAAGGACTTTTAACATAGGGGGCAGAATAAATAAAATCTTTAACAATATTGTACAATGACCTCTTCCGTCGAGCCTTTTTCCCGAACTAGGTTGGGGTCGACTTAAAATCTACCACGATACGGCTGAACCTCGATTTTTTACGCGAGCGGCTGCCATCAGACCTATACAACCGAACCAAAGTTCAGAAGTTCTACCCGTAACGATTGCCACAAATGTTGGTATGGCAACCATGACAGACGGCTTAACATGCTTACCAAGAAACGGAGGGGTCTCATTTATTTTTATCTAGATTTTTTTTTTAAAAAGAAGTACACTATTCATAATTACCATCTAAAAACTTTTTTTGTTTCTAGTAGAATGTCCAACATTCAATCCCAATTCCAACGAAATTTTCATTTCATATTCAAACAAAGTTGTAGAGTTGACTAAAGTTTGAACTTTAGTTTGATTGAATCAGGTAAGCAACAAATTTCCTTAAACAAAATAACACATTTAAAGATTAACTATAATAAGACCATCGCTGACAGTTTCTTTCCCCCCAGTCTGGTAATTATCTTTAATTCATTAGAGCTAATCAATAAAGGATAGGAAGGACTAATCATCCCAGCAGGAGATGACATCCCGGAGCGAGACAAAATTGACGGTAATGATGTCGACAAGCTAAATGAATGACGAGACAGTACAGTAGCAGGGTTGTTATTTAGAGATGGTATTGAATAAAGGGATTGAGATCAGATTTATAGAAAATTAATGATACTCTGTTTATGATTACAGAGCTAATGAAGATTACTTACACATGTCACGTCTTGTCAATAAACCTGTATATAAAAAGTATGAAATTAATAAAATTGGCCTTTTTGATCATCTAACTTCAAGACCATTGTAACTTTAATTTAAAGGTTAATTAACTATTTTCAATGAAATTGCACACGAATATCCTCTTACGGATGAAATTTAGCTTATATTTACAAATTCATATTGGCACAGAGACGACTAAAAATATATTGTTTACAGAATACATTGAAATAAGCAATCCAATCTACGTACAAACATAATTAAAAGGTACACAAACCCAATTATCTTTGAGAATCTCGAATTCAACTAACGAAGAGCAGTGACATGGATTGCACACGATAATTATACTGAACATACAGTTAAAAGGGACCCCACGGTGATTATGTAGTATTCTCGTGAAAATTTTAAATCATAGGGACGATGAAATGAAAAGACCAAAATTTTCAACGACGGACACGTAGGCAAATAATATTACAGCTAGAAACAAAAATATAAAGGACTTTTAACATAGGGGGCAGAATAAATAAAATCTTTAACAATATTGTACAATGACCTCTTCCGTCGAGCCTTTTTCCCGAACTAGGTTGGGGTCGACTTAAAATCTACCACGATACGGCTGAACCTCGATTTTTTACGCGAGCGGCTGCCATCAGACCTATACAACCGAACCAAAGTTCAGAAGTTCTACCCGTAACGATTGCCACAAATGTTGGTATGGCAACCATGACAGACGGCTTAACATGCTTACCAAGAAACGGAGGGGTCTCATTGATTTAAGAACGGTCACCGATCCATAGACTGACCTGGCTAGGATTTCTTAACTTTGCAATGTGTTAATGTTTTCAGTTACCACTTTGCCACGAGCCTCTAATATTTTGCAATGATAAAAATTTGTAATAACAATTTTTTATCTACTCAAACATGTAAAAAGAATTCAACTAATGCAGGGCGGTAACATAGATTGCAAACGTACAAAACATACAGTATACAGTTTAAAAGAAATTCATATTATAAGGATGAGTTTACACATAGGTGAAAGAAAATGAAAAGAACAAGCTTTCCAATGAGGGACACATGAGCAAATAATACTAGAGCTAGAAACAAAAATCTAAGGCAGTTTTAAGATAAGAGGACAAACAAAGCTTTAACAATATTTTAGAATAATAAAAACATAAAATATGAAAATTATATCTACACATGTAAAAAGAATTCAACTAATGGAGGGCAGTAACATAGATTGACGATAAAATATACTTAACATACAGTTAACGGAGACCTCATGGTGATTATTTGGTATTCACATGATAATTTTAAATTATAGGGATGAGTTTACACAAAATTAAAAGAACCAAATTTCCAACGAGGGACATTTGGGCAGGTAATACTACAGCTAGAAACAAATTTTCAAGATAGAGGACAAAAAAAAGCTTTAATAATATTTCACAATGATAAAAACATACAATAAGAAAATGTTATCTACTCAAACATGTAAAAAGCAAACACGAAAACGTAATGGATATGTTTTACATAAACTGATATGTTTTACTAACCCTGACAGGCATAAGAAATTCCATGAAGTAAAAAGAAATGCAATCTTAACAGACAAGAAATCAAGAACTTCGAACAAGAGTTTCGACCGAAACCAAAAGGATTGCACATCAAAATTCCCATAAAAATAAAGAGAGAATAGAAAAGACCACCTAATACATTAAGATGCTGATATGCTTCTAAGAATCTAACAAAAAGCCATACTAGAATACAAGAAAACGAAAACTATACCATTCAAAGAACCGTCAATGAACATATACAAATAGAGAAAAACATCAAAGCCAAATAATAGTTTGTGGACGAACAATGACGACCATTGACTTTTAACCACCTGAAAACTAAAAGTTTGAACACGTGGCCTGTACAAGTGGCACTTACCTCGAACGGGAGCGGCCTGCCATCTTGTCGTCTCGTTCCCACTTTAAATACAATACTTTACCCTCTCGCTCTCTCACACCCTGCTCGAATTTTGTATTGTTAATCTTGGATTCAGAAGACTTTAAACCATAGGCGACTTGTAGGGATTTGTGGTAAGTATTATGAAGTAAAAGCAGATAGTAAATTGTAGAAAGCCAAACTTGGACTAAGTATAGCTCCCTGTGGTGCACTGAGAACTTGTGATGTTTTAGTGCAGTTGTGCAGTCTTTGGTCGCTGGGGGTGAGAGAGCGGGACCACCGCCACCGCGGACGGTCCACGGAGGAATGTTCTGCTACCCCGGCAGCGCGCCAGGATCTCGCGCCTAACACTATGAACCTTCTCCAACGCTTATGAGGGGTTGATCCGCGCACGCGCGTTGCAAATCTTCCATCCTTTACGCACCCACGCAACATAGAGATGGGGGAACGAACTTTAGGGATGATATTCGGAGGGTGAAAAGACGATGAAAGATGGAAATGCATTTCGGACTCCGTTCGGATTTCCGGAGCTTGTGATTTTGTTTATTGATTCGTATCTGCAAATTCTTCTAGGACGCTTTCTGGAGAGTTATTAATCCCCTTATCATGTCAGTGGGAGATTTACTGTTCATGTAATACTAATAAAAAAAATACTGACCATTGTTATCTTCTGTAATGATCGATGTTTTTAGAACTCAATTGTTGCTTTTGGGAATAGTAAAAAGGGGTTCTTAACAATACACCTGCGGCCACTTAGACTGACAAATGGTTGTTGATTGAAGGAAATTATAAACTGAAAAACTGCCAATGTAAAATGTACTATATTCCCTAGTACTACAAAACTAAAAATCCAATTTCTGATTTACTGTTAAAAATATAACCCTAAAAGCGTGTTGTAATAGAGTACAATTATGAATATTTACGCAGTGGAGTGCAGTGTGCGTCGGGACAGAAGTAATGGACGTCGACGTAAAGGGTTGCGGGTTCGATGTTCATATTGTTGATGTAACAAATTGGGATGGCGTTATCTAAAATCACATATTTTAGATAACGTTGACATTGTTGACGCAAACGCTAATTGTGTTGACAGAGCAGCTGAAATAACTTAATATTAAGAATGAGCAATAGAATTATAATGTTTTAAGCAATTTTACGTAATTGTCTGTGTATGCGGTTTAGCGAGGAGCGACTACGTTTGAAGTAATATACAGTAACTATGTGAGGACAGATGCTGTTACGAATTATTAACTTTTTTCTTTATTTTTACAAAGACAACTCTCGCATAAGGAATATATCTTGTGTCGCGGGGGACTTCACAAACATACATGAAACGAACACAAAGACTGAGAACAACAATTTGTGGATCACACATAGTGTCGTCCCATGTGGGGATCGGACTCACAACACTCAGCGTAGTAGTAAGCGGCGTGACGACCGCTTAAACCACTACGCCATCCGTGCAGTCCCGTTAAGTTTTAAGCTTCTGCAATTCATAAAAACTATAAGAAAGCTAGATACCATTCATGCTGCACCTAGCACTTGCACGTTAGTGACCCTGACTGCTAAGCCGGCGGTCGTGGGTTCGATTCCAACTCAGGATAAATAATTGTGTGATGAGCACGATGATTTATTCTGTGTCTGGATGTAATTTATCTATAATATGTATGTATTTATAAATATAAGTATGTTTATCAGCAGTCTGGTTACCTTAGCACAGGCTCTGCCTAGTTTGGAATCAGACGGCCGTGTGTGAGATATGTGAAGCTTTGCTCTGATCATTACTAAATTTGCCTCGGATGGGCATTGAAACCACAACCTATGGTCAAGTCAGGTTCCTGACATCATCCATCATCAGATGACAAGTGATCAGTATCACATATTATATCATCAAACATCATAAGTGTAACAGATGATATAGTTCACTCAGGAACCGTCTATGAGTGGATCGAGCAATTAATAACCCATTCGCAAAGCAAACATTGCGGTGCTATCATTGCGTTCGGTTACTCGTTGCAAGTGGCACTACTTGCGGGAGATGAGTCGGTGTTTAAGTGTTTGTGGGAAATTATGTTGTTGAAAGGTTTTATGTACAGAGAGCTTGATATTTTAAATGTAAACATTAGTATGATATTTGTATTTTTAGGCAAAGATGGAACAGTTCAGTAAGTCTAACCAATTTTAAAATAACGATGCGAGAATTAGTTATTCGACTTTTTTTTCTGCACGTTAAGCTATATTGTATTTCGCCATTTTTGACCGATTTAAATAATATATAACAATAAACCCTTATTTACCTTGCACTTGAAGTTGATCCATTTTAATTTTAAGAAAATATTTCACCCTTAAGGTTGGAAAATTTGGCAATTATAATGGGAGTCATTACGATTTATCGTTATTTAGAATTCCTATGAAGTCGGTCATTTTTATTAAATTTATTTAATTCTATTTTTCTTATCATTTAATTACTTGACTCATTTAACTTATTATTAAATAACTGTCTTATGCAATTTTACAGTAAGACTTTAAACGAGTTTCTTTTTTAAGTTTTCTTAAAAGACCCGTATCATGTCTATACGTATTGTGGAACTTGGTAACGCTGATGCTTTGCTTGGGTCTAAAAGTAGAAAGAAAATACAAAACTGAGAAAAACCTCATACTAAAACCTACGATCGAACAGTCTCAATAACATTTTTACGTAAAACCCCTCAACATTGAAATCTATCAAAAGGTCGCTCACAGTCAGACCGGCCGGTATCCCGCCGCGGTGCACGAAAACTACATTTGTTAAAAAACTAGGGACAATCCTGTGCACATAATCTTAAGACATTTCGTTGAAATATAGCGATAATACATTTACTGTTTCTTTAGATATTTACCTATATTTGTTTAAATAGTAAGTTAATTATTATTTAGAATATTTTGCACGAGAAAAAAACACCGTGGGAGAGCCATGCTTATGCACGAATGGGCCGGCTCGACCGGAGTGATACCACGGCCTCACAGAAAACCGGTGTTAAGCAATTCTTTAGTTGCATTTCACTGAGTGAGTGAGGTTACCGGAGCCCAAATCCCCCCCTCCCGCTATTGTTAGGTTATATAGGAGATAGTCGTAAAGCTATTTGTTTTTACTGTTGAATTGTGGAGTTGTGCGGCTGCCGCTTTACAGAAAACCAGTGTTAAGTAATTCATACTAATTAAAAAAGGGACTAAATTTATAGCGATAAGTAGTATCCCAATTCTATAAATTGATTGTATAAATGTATGTATAAAAGAAAACTACCCTAAGCCATAATTCTTCTTTAAATGTCTAACATCCGTATTAAGTTGTCTGTAAGAGATCTCTGTGAACGATAAGACGGCCGATTGTTACGTTTATAGATGTATTTGTATATGTTTTAAAATAAGTTTGTCATACATCTCACACACGGCCGTCTGATCCCAAACTAGGCAGAGCCTGTTCTATGGTAACCAGACTGCTGATAAACATACTTATATATTTTTAAATACATACATATCATAGATAAATACACACAATTAAGATATAAATAAAATTCTGAAACAACAAATTTTGTTTTAAAATTTAGATATGTTCTACAGCAATTATAAAATTTTATTTTATTTATTTAACTTAATGCACAAGTTGTACACAGGCGGACTTAATGCCCGAGGCATTCTCTGCCAGTCAACCTTCGGGTAATGTAGAAAAATGATGCTGTAGGTGCAAGAGAAAATAGAGAATTTTAAATTAAATTTATTAGTTTAAGATAAATCTAACTTACATATATACACTGTATACTATAAATAAAATACTATATTATACTATATATATAATACTAATATATATTATAATACTACATTATGTAAATATTTATCTGTTTACTATATACACTATTATTATAGTAACAAAATTTAGTATATTTTAGCTAGCTTTGGGTTCAGAATCATAACTAACTTTATGTGTGTATATATACTTATATACAAATATTTGCAGCGAGAACGTTAGACGCACTAAATGGTCTAGACGCTCTAGACGGAAAAGACTTGAACGCGTTCGGCTTAGTTTGCACAAACCTAACTTTAATTTGAATCACGCTTTGATTATCACTAAAGTAACACATAAAATCAGATTGGACGCTATTAAAAGAGAAAAAAGGCAAAGTTTGTTAGTATTATTTTGTCTTGTTTAATGAATTATTACAATATTTTAATGGGGATATTATTTTATTTATATTTTTGAAATAGTTGCGGTTGACAATTAATTAATTAATTCGGACATCTGACACACAACGCCATCTAGTCTCAAACTAAGCAGAGGTTGTACTATGAAAGATAGATTGACTTTTTTTTGTAAATACATACATATTTTACATAGAAAAAACCCAAATTCCAAAACAAACATTTGGTCCGATCCGAGACCTCAACACAGCAGTCGCTTAAACTACCACTGCGCCACGATGGAGTCGTTACATACGTTACGTTACAATTTCTTGTAAATGTTTATTACCACTATAATTATAATTAAACTCCTATAATTTTGCAAGGTTTCGTATGCCGTTACTGGTAAAACATGTAAACACAATATCACCTACAAACATATTCATGCAATGCAAAATTTGTACTGTACCACTCATGTTTAATAAACGTAATAAATTATTCTATTGGATTAATCTATAATATTTTTTGTTAAAGTGAAAACGTCTTTAAGAGCGTTGGACAATTTTGAACAACAAACAAAATAATGTATTCTTTAAGATGGGAAAAAAACTGTTACCGTTACCGACACCTCTTTATCTAAATATGTTGGACCCGTTTACACGTGAGTTGAATTTGGGTTGAACAACATACGGTTTAAGAATCTTTACTTATCAAAAGAATTTTCAAAATTCACTTACTGAGAAAACATACATAAAAGTAAACAAATAAATCTATTGAACCTTTGAATATAACATAAAATAAAAGTGGGTAGTCAAATATATTTTGCACAAGATTACGAACTTGCAAAACTCTCGAACACAGAAACTTAAGCACATTAATAATATAACCATATCTATACTAATATTATAAAGCTGAAAAGTTTGTTTGTTTGTTTGTTTGTTTGAACGCGCTAATCTCAGGAACTACGAATACAAGTATAATACAATTAACAATTAAGAATACAAATTGTCACCACCCCAATTCATCCCGTGGGTGTCGTAAGAGCCGACTAAGGGAGTAAACTGAGCAGGACAACAGCACTGCAAAGAGAAGGTAAACTTGAAACAAACCCTATACCAACCCGTCTGGCCAGCGTGGTATAGTAGGCCAAAACCTCCTTTCTAAGGAGAGGTCTATGTCCAGCAGTGCACTAGTATAGGCTGTTGATGTACTGTAACACCTATCCTCCGCTATTATTCAGCACCGACTTCAAACAAACCAGAATATATTTTTATATGTTT